CGCTGGCCTCTGGCGGCCTGGGCTCCTGCGGCGAGGCCGGCCTGTTTGCATCAAAAATCAACTCTTGCTCTGGGGCCTTCGCTGCTGGGCCTGGCGTGTCCTCGTCCACCGTGTCCCTGCTCTCGGCGGAGAGCGTGGCCGCATCCTCGTCCGACAGCTCGCTCTCCCCTGCGTCCTCAGCCGGGGCGGACGGTGTCTCCTGGGCAACGTTGCTCTCTGGGCCCGGCTCCCCGGCTCTCTCCTCTGAAAGAGAGCAGTGCGCTGACGGCCGAGCCACAGCGGGCGGTGACGCAGGAGCCCGGGGGAGAGGGTCTGAGGGCAGCCGAGCAGCGCAGGCCTGTAGGCCCGTGCGTACCCTGCCAGTCCAGCGTGTGCAGAAAGTGGTTGGTGTCCGTGCCACTGCTCTGCGGGGACTCTGACTCCGTGGGCTCAGCGTCGGGAGATCCCGTCTCGGCGTCGTACTGGGCGCTGGAGCCCGGCTGCCTGGGGAGCTCGGGCTTCCCTACGAGGAGAGGAGGGCATCAGGCCACCAAGCCCCGGTGCACCGTCCTGTAGCGGCCGGCCGCCCGCTCCAGACCACCGGGACCCCGCGCTGACTGCCACCGAGTCCAGTCTGCGCGTGGGTCCCAGTGCAGGCTCAGACGCTGGCTTGGGTCGCGCGTGCGCACACACACGCACATGCTTCACACACACCACACGCCTCGGGTACTTGGCCGTCTTCACGTAAGGAAACGTGCACATCGTACCCAGGGCACGCGGGGTGCTGAGCCCCGGCCACAGGGGGCACAGCCGCGGCCAGGGCACTGCCTACGCTACTTCCTGTAATTGCTCTGAAATAGGAAGACGAGACTGAACTGAGCGGAGGGGTTGCCAGGAGAAAGCTCTGCGTGCTGGCGGCCTGGCTGTGCCCAGCTGGTCCAGGCGAGGCTCTCCGCCTGCTCCCGGGAGGGCAAATTGGGGTCCTGGCGCGCTGACCCACAAGGACTCACCGAATTTAGACAGGACGTCCTGCTGCTCCTCTCGGCTGGAAAAGAGGATCTTGGGGTTCAGCCCCCTCATGCTGGAGCTCTCCCAGGGCGGAGCCTCCCGGCTGGGCCTGTCTCGGGGCTCCACCTCCACCTCGAGGCTCACTTGGAACAGATCTGGGTATTTCTCCTGAATGTCACAGGCGTCCAGGTCATACCTGCAAGGAGGCCACACCCCAGTGAAGGGGGCAGGACCCGTTTCACAGCTCACCCCAGGTCCCCCGAACACGAGCACAGACCAGGCTACACCCCAGTCTGGCCGCAGGAGCGCAGTGGGCATAGTCTGTGCACCAGGCGCGAGCACCTCTCCAAGCAGCACCGGCTTGTCAGGGGAGCACTGGGCCTGCCCTCGCCCTGGGTCCTGGGTCCAGGCCAGGCCGCCTGAGATACTAAATGTGTTTCCATGGAAATGTTCGCCCTACAAACGCCCCAATGGCTGACAGAGGCCCCGCAATCGCCTGCAGTGAGGGCAGCATGGTGGCCTGTTGCTGTGGGCCAGGGAGGCAGCACCCGCCCCTGCTGGGAGGGAAAGGGAACAGGCAAGAAGCCAAAGGCTCTGGTCTCCACGCACCACCGGAGGCAGCGGCCAGGGGCCGGGCACAGGGCGCAAAGATGCGTCCAGGGCGAGTGGCAGTAGTGACTTCAGTGACCACGGCACCGATCGGCTCTGCCTCTCCAGGGGACCCCAGTGAGTTCACAGGCACCCGAGGTCACCCTGACGCTCATGGTGCTGAGAGATACCGCAGCCCTGGGCGCAGGCCAGTGCACCCAGCACCTGTGTGCGTCTCCCTTCAGGTAGCAGAGCAGTAAAATGCAAAACAGAAATACAAGACGGCAGCAGGTTCCCGCGACCCGAGGTGGGGAGGGAGGGCTCTGCCGCCCCCACCGTCCGTGGGGCACCACCCAAACGCCCCCGCCCGGGCAAAAGGGGCCGTGGAGACACCACACAGGTGCTCAGCGAGGGCGGTGGAGCCACAGCAGCTTCTCCACGGAACAAGCCCAGTGACACGCCCTGGGTGGCGCCCACTGCTTCACGCCTCCCCCTGCCCACAGCTCTGCCGGAGGACGCAGCC